GCCCCGCTGGGCTCGCAGCCCCGGGAGCCCCGGGAGTCCCGGGCAGCCCCCGAGGAGGAGGCAGGGAGGAGGGAGGAGAGGGAGGCGGGGGTCCCGCCCGGCCCGGCCCGTGGGCAGCTCCGGTCCGCTGTGCGCAGGAGAAGAGGCGGCTGCAGGAGGAGATCCGCGCGGCGCTCCGGGAGCTGGAGGACGAGAAGCTCCGCGTGGAGCGGCTCAAGGTTGGGGGCGGGCGGGAGCGCCTGCCAGCCTGGGGGACGTGCGAGGCGGTTTGGAGGACAATAAACAATAGGAGCCTGCGTCGGACAGGGGGAGGGGGCGTTGGTCGCCTGCAGTCGGAGGCGTTGGTCCCAGCTTTGGGGTGTGGCTTTCCCAGCCTGGGAGGGTATGGGGTAGGGTGGTAATGGGGACATTTGTTACACCTTGGGAAGAGTATGGGGACAGTGGAGGTGTTTGTCCCAATTTGGGAAAGGTGAGAGGAGCTTCAGTCCAGCTTTGGAGTAGGGAGGGGCCGATAGGGAGGGACGTTGATTTCACCGTTGGGCGTGTCTGTCCCATTTTGGAAGGGTTGTGTGGGTGAGGGGGTGTCTGCCCCAGCCTGGGAGGTTTGAGGGGACTGAGGGGTGTGTATTGCAGCCTGAGAAGGCTGTGGGCGGGCAATAGGGTGTCTGCCCCACCTGGCAGTGTTGGGGACAATGTGAGCATGTATCCCAGCCATTTATGTCCCATCTGGGTGGTCGTGAGGCAATAAGAAATCTGCCCAGCCTGGAAGGTCAGGAGGGGACTTTACATGGGGTGGGTTAGTCCGTATGTCCAGCCCGGACTCCCTTCCCCTGCCCAGAGGAAGTCTCTCCGGGAGCGTTGGCTAATGGACGGGGCAGCCGAGGGGCCAGACCGGCCTGAGGACCCCACTTCACAGGACCCCCAGTCACCGGAGGGCCAGGCTCAGGCCCGAATCCAGAACTTGGAAGACAGCTTGTTCACGTGAGTGGAGCTTGCTAACCCTGCCCCAGTCTGGCTAGGCCAGAATCTTGGGCACACTTGGGGGATGTGGCAAATTGAGCTTGGAGTCCCAGCTCCCAGCAGCCGCCTCTCTTTCCTAGACTCCAGTCTCAGCTGCAGCTGTTGCAAAGTGCGTCGACAGGTGCCCAGCACAAGCCCTCGGGCAGACCCACCTGGCGCAGACAGGTGAGGGGCCAAGGGAATGGGACACTGGGGGAGAGGAGGTGTGGCCAGCAGGACACTGAACAGAGGTGCTGCTCTTTCCAAGCGCAGCTTAGCCAGTAGGTCTGCATACGAATCTACGTTCTGCCACTTCTTTGCTCTGTGGTCTTGGGCAAGTCAGTTTCATGCCCAAGCCTCGGTTTCCCCATCTCTAAAATGAGAATAACAGCAGCACACACCTGGAAGAGACTTTGGGAAAGTCAGTGAGATCATGGCTTAGCACCAGTAACAGGCACAAGGGAAAGTTGATATATGGTTGCTAATATGTCCTAAATGAGGAATGCAGTCAAAAAATGTGGGCAGGTGGCCCTGGGATGTGACTTTGAAGGTGGGAAAGGCTCACCATGAGAAGCTCTCATGATTTGACACATCCACGTAGGATTTTGCTTTTTCACTTTTTGTTTTGGTAACACCTTTATTAAGATAAAATCTACATGCCATACCACATGCAGACTTGAAAAATGGGACACTTCATATTAAAATCTGGCTCTCTGGGTTTTAATCGAAGTCCAAAGATCCCGCAACATTTGCACCTGGTTGTAGTGAGGTATGGGTTTTCAACAGCCCGCACCTCTCTCTGATGTCCTACCTTATCTCCCAAGAGCCTGTTGGATGACAGACAAGAGGGAAAAGGGCATTCCAGGCAGAGGGAGCAGCCCGTACAAAGGCCTGGAGGCTGGAAAGAAGAGGGTAGATACAGAGAACTGTCAAAAGATCTATGGGGCTTGACCTAGGTGGCCTGCGTGGATGTCCCACCCTCCCCTCCCTGAGCACATCTTCTCTTGCTTCTGTCTTTACTCATTCTGTTCCTTGAACTTGCCTAGGTCACTGTGGCCCCAGGGCCTTTGCACCTGCTGTTTCCTCTGCCTAGAATGCCCTTCCCCACTTCTTGATTCATGGTTGGCTCTTCTCACCCTTCAGGTCTCTGTTCAGTGTCACATCCTAAAGGGTTTGGATTTCCATACCGGCCAGCACCAAAAAAATAAAAAATGAAAAAGTCACCTCCCTCAAGAGGCTCTCCCACATTTTCTATTTAAAGGAGGCACCTCATCCCCTCCCAGACCCTACCTAGCCCCTTGCTGTGCCTTTTCGTACTTCTTTCCATAGCCCTTCTCACTTGCTGGCATTATATATTTATTTGTGTTTATGTTTATTGGAATGTAAGTTCCAATAGCAGAAGGCTTAAGTGTCCTTTGTCCATGGTAACCTCAGTAGTTAGCAGAGTAGGCCCCTAATACCGAGAGATTTGCTGAATGAATCAATTAAGCACATACTGTGTGCAAGACCCTGGAGCAGAGGGAGATGAGACAGGTGAGGAAGGCTGAATGCAATGTGGAGTTTGGTTGTGAAGGTAATGGGAAGCTATGGAGGGTGTTTGAGCAGGGGATGGGGCACTGGCATGCAGAGAGGCTGGAGATGGGGACGAGGGCTGGTCTGACCTTGTCTCTGCCATCCCTGTAGGGTCACCGTCCTCTCTCGCAACCCACCGTGGAGGCAGGTGTTACAGGTGGGTGTTGGAGCCCTTAGGTCTGGGGGTCAATCAGATGACCCGAGAGGAAGGAAGATGGGGGTCTTCCTGGGCCCTCCTCACCCTGTCTTCCCCTCTTTCCTCTCCTCTCCTTCCCTGGCTCCCTTAGGCCATACTGATCTGGACAAGAGAGCCTCCCTGCCAGCCTGGCCAGTGGGCGTGTCCCCAGAGTCCCCATCTGAGCCCAGGGAGGAGGCCGTTGGGGTTCTGCCAGCCCCAAGGCGGGTCCCCGGGGCAGTAGCAGCCTCCTCAGAAGCCAACGGCCCCTGCCTGGGACCCAGCCCCCCTCCGGAGCAAGAGCCAAGTCAGGGGGTAGCAGCCACTGAGGGGCGGGTGGGTGAGGACAAGGAAGGGGGTGTAGTGAAGGTGGTGTGGGAGGGGCTGAGGGCCACCGAGGACTGTGCCACAGGAGCCACAGGCCTGGAGCTGGAGGCCAAGGTGGAGGAGGTGGTGCAGGAGGCCATTGGGGACAGGCAGGGGGCTGGCAGCCTGGAGCTCCCTGCCTGGGTGAAGGAGGACAGGGGCACCGTGGAGGTGGTCTGGGAAGGGGTGGGGGGCAGCGACTCGGAGGCCACAGGGGAGGTGGGCATGGGCCCAGGAGCTGCACAGACCAGCTTGCCGAGGTTCCAGGAGAGATGGGAGGAGGCAGCTTCCAGAGAAGGGGAGGGTGCTCCCAGGGGCAGCCCTGAAGGAAGAGGAGAGGAGGGGTCCTTCATCTGGGTGGAGCGAGTGACCCTCAGTGAGGACTGGGAGGAGCTGCTGGTGGAGGGGTTGGAGGGGCCGCTGGTGACAGGAAGGGAGGGAGGAGATGAAGGTTCACTGGGAGCAGAGAGGAGAGGAGGAGAGGAAACCTGGGAGGTAGAGAGGAGGAGAGCAGAAGAATCAGCAGGAATAGGGAAGAGAGGAAGTGAGGACAAGCCAGGGACAGAGGGGGACAGGGCAGAGATGCCACTGGTGGAAGAGAGGAAAAGAAGTGAGGAGTCCTTGAAGCCAGAGAGCAGAGGAGGTGAGGAAAAGCTGGGGACAGAGAGGGAAGGAGGTGAGGAACCACTGGGATTAGAGAGAAAAGAAGGTGAGGGACTTTTGAGGGCAGAGAGAGAAAGAGGTGAGGAAATGCTAGGGGTAGAGAAGAAGGAAGTTGAGGAGCCACTGGAAGTAGAAGAGGAAGGAGGCGAGGAAAAGCCAGAGGCAAGTGAAGAGCCTTTGGTGACAGAGATAAAAGGAGGTGAGCAACCATTAGCAGCAGAGGAAAAAGGAGATGAGGAGCCATCACAGGCAGAGGAAAAAGGAGGTGAGGAGCCATCACAGGCAGAGGAAAAAGGAGGTGAGGAGCCATCACAGGCAGAGGAAAAAGGAGGTGAGGAGCCATCACAGGCAGAGGAAAAAGGAGGTGAGGAGCCATCACAGGCAGAGGAAAAAGGAGGTGAGGAGCCATCACAGGCAGAGGAAAAAGGAGGTGAGGAGCCATCACAGGCAGAGGAAAAAGGAGGTGAGGAGCCATCACAGGCAGAGGAAAAAGGAGGTGAGGAGCCATCACAGGCAGAGGAAAAAGGAGGTGAGGGACCATCACAGGCAGAGGAAAAAGAAGGTGAGGGACCATCACAGGCAGAGGAAAAAGGAGGTGATGAGCCTCTGCAGGCAGAAGAAAAAGGAGGTGAGCAACCATTGGAATTAGAAAAGACCCAAGGAGCAAAGGAAGATCTGAGTCCAGAAGAGCAGAGAGCACCAGGGGCAGGAACTGAATCCCAGGCAGAGGAGGTGAGTGATGTAGGGGCTCCCCTTGGGGCCAATGAGGAGGAGCCAAGCCCAGAGGAGGAAGGACTGCAGCCCCAGGAAAAGCAAGAAGGCTCCCTGGAGGAGGAAGCAGTAAAGCCCCAGACCCCTGCTGAAGGCCAGGACCCCTCAGGGGGTGCCACGCCCCTCCTGGCAGAGACCCCAGCCACCCCAGAGCAGCCCACCGAGTGCCAGCCACTGCTTCATGGGGAGGAGCCCAGCGCCAACCCCAGTGTCCACCCCGCGCCCACCTATGCCCCTGCCCGGCAGCCTGAGCCATCTGCCCCCACCGAGGGTGAAGAGGCAAGCGGACCTAAGCAAAAGACGTGCCAGTGTTGTGCGGTTATGTGAGCCCGCACCCCTCCAACCCATGCCCACCTCTTCTCACAGCTACCTCGGCCTCTTGGCATCCAGCAGAGGGTCCTAGGCTCAGACAGGGCATCACGGGACTGGCTGTAGCACCTGGGAGCCAGCTGGCCTGCATGTTCACCTACACCTGGGCTTCTGGACCCCCTGCCCACTGCCTGTGACCCTGGCCCCCTTCTGCGATGAAGCCTTTATACTTGAAAATAAATGATTAAAGCACTCAGACAGCTTGAACATATGGGTTATTGTCACAGAGCCACCTGATCTCATCCTGATGGGAAACTGAGGGCTTAACTCTGCTAGAATCAGAGATTGTGAATCAGTGACAGTACAGATTCAGCTGCTGTAACAAAGAGACCTCAAGCTATAGGAGCTAGAAAAACATAAAGGTTTATTTCTCTGGATGGCTCGGATCCATGCAGTCACTCAGGGATTCAGGTTCCTTTCCATTTCTTGTCCTCCCCTCCCCTTGGGTATGGCCAAAGCTGGATCATGGGGCACATTTATGATCTGGCTCATAGAGAAGGGAAGGGAGTGTGGAGGAGCCCCCACCCAGTGTTTTAAAGTCCCATCCAGACTTGGTGTTCACACACATCACTTTTGCCCATGTTCTGTTGTTGAGAACTCAGTCCATGGCTGTACCTAGCTGCAAGGGAGGCTGGGATCATGCCCAAATGCAGTTCTGTTACAGCAGAAGGACAGATTTCAGGAGGCAGCTTCCACTCTCAATTTCATATATTTTCCTTGGCTCCCTCATCTATCCACACATTCCCTGTTGGGGCCAGGTCCTTCTCTGTAGGGGTCCTTCAGTCCCAGTTCTTCCTAGCTGGGTGTCTCAGGCAAGTGGCTCAGCCTCTCTGAACCTCAGTGTCTTCATCTGTCAAGACAGCTAATCCAGGAGTGGGGTGCAACTTGCATGAGCACCCCTCTAGTTTGGCTTGCAGACCCCAGGTTGGGGTAAGGTTCAAACCAGAACCTGCGGTCTGGGGGGCCCCAGAAGGCCCAGCTCCTCAGGTGTGGGCAGAAAGTGTTTCTCATACCCAGAGTCAAGCGGGGCGGAGGCCTGGGGGGGCTCTGTAACTGGCAGTGGCTCCATCTCCTCCACCTCCAGGATGGGAAAGTCCCTAAAGGGCTGGGCCTGTGGCACTTCCTGGGAAGAGATAAGGCTAAAATCTTGCCCCCTCCCACCTCACCTACTCCCCAGTGTCCCCAGATCCTCCAATCCCCTGGAAGGCTCCAACAAGCCAGCCTTTTTGCTCACCTCCATGTGGGGCTGTCCAGAATTGCTGTTGGCAGGATCAGGAACCTTCTCCTGGACCCAGTGGGGCAGCACTTTGTGCCACAGGTGGAGGCACCTGATGAGCAGGTAAGAGTCAGGCAGGAAATCCAGGCAACCAGACACTCCAGGTTGCAGGGCTCATGAACATGACAGAGCCCTGAGGCCTCCCTTCAACCCCCCGGAAGCTCAGCAAGTGCCCGTCTGCCCTCCCCACCCTGCATCTGGGCAGAGACCCATGTGCGAGAGCCTCACCTTCCAGGAGTGGCTAGGCTGAGGCCACAGCCCATCAGGAACAAGCCCCAAAGGAACAGGACACCTGGCAGAACTTTCCACCTTATGGTGTTATCTGGGAGGGGGAAGTAGGGTGCGTGGTAGGAGAGAACTATTGGACATGAGGGAGGAGGGAGGCAGGGCTCATGGATGGGGTGGGGCTTAGATGAGAGAGGCTGAGAAATGGGCGGGGCTTGTGAATGGGTAGGGGCTAAGGATGGTGGAAATTTTGGCTGGGGGGTGCAGAGAGGGGCTTATGAATAGAGGAGTACTCTGTCAAGGTCAAGGATGGGGTGAAACTGTTAGAGATGCACATTGTCTAAAAACAGACAGCAGCATTTAGCAGAATTGAAATGCTCCTGAGGCACTGTTAGCAACCCTCCCTCCCAAGTCAAAATGTTGTCCATGCACCAGAGCCCAAGTAATGACTCCAGACAACCTCCCCCTCCTCGCAGTAATCCCACCCCAGCCCCCTACCTGGTAGGTGAAGCCAGAGGCTGGGACCAGGTGGGCCCTGTCCTGCGATGGTGGATGCAGTCATCCACAGCTTACAGGGACCCCATTGAAGGTCAGGCAGGGTGGCATTCCGGGCACTGGCACTCACTGAAGGACACAACCAGAGAGGTTGGGGAGTTGGTGAAGTCCTACCTCAGGACCTTTGCACATGCTCTTTTCTCTACCACATTCTTCCCCAGATATTGACGTGTCTCCCTCCTTCTCTTTTTCAGATCTTTGCTCAAATGTCACCTCCTCAGGGAGACCTTCCCTGACACCCCCTCACCATTTAAAATTGTACCTCTTTAACTATCCACCTTTGTCGCTTCATTCGCTACTCAGCACCTGTCACCATGGGACATACTACTTAGATATTATTTTGTTTGTCTATACCTGTGGGTTCCCCATTAGAAAGGCCACATTCTACGAAGGCCACATTCCCAGCACCTGCCTCAGTGTCTGGCACATAATAAGCACTCAAAAGTGATATATAAATTTGAATAAATAAAATAATGAATGAGCATCCTATCTCTCACCTACACAGAACCCGGTGAAGGGAGATTTGCCCCAATCAAGGGGAAGACATTTAGGGCCGGCCTGTGGCTCACTTGGGAGAGTGTGGTGCTGATAACACCAAGACCACAGGTTCGGATCCTATATAGGAATGGCCAGTTTGCTCACTTGGGAGAGTGTGGTGCTAACACCACCAAGTCAAGGGTTGAGATCCCCTTATCGGTCATCTTTTAAAAAAAAAGACAAGGGGGGCCGGCCCATGGCTCACTCGGTAGAGTGCGGTGCTGATAACACCAAGGCCACGGGTTCGGATCCCATATAGGGATGGCCGGTTAGCTCACTGGGTGAGCGTGGTGCTGACAACACCAAGTCAAGGGTTAAGATCCCCTTACCGGTCATCTTTTAAAAAAAAAGACAAGGGGGGCCGGCCCATGGCTCACTCGGTAGAGTGCGGTGCTGATAACACCAAGGCCACGGGTTCGGATCCCATATAGGGATGGCCGGTTAGCTCACTGGGTGAGCGTGGTGCTGACAACACCAAGTCAAGGGTTAAGATCCCCTTACCGGTCATCTTTTTAAAAAAAAAAAAAAAAAAAAGACAAGGGGAAGACATTTGGACCTCCTAGAACTATTTTTATTTACTTTTTTACTTCAGTCCTTTTTTAACCCAAAGAGGAAGTAGTCTTTTGGTTTATGATAGGATTTTAGGAGACAAGAACATGGATCAAGATACGTTGATGCAGGGCTGACCCGTTAGCTAGGTTGGTTAGAGCGTGGTGCTGATAACACCAAGATCAAGGGTTTGGATCCCTGTACCAGCCAGCTGCACCCCCCACATACCAAAAACAAATAAACAGAAGATATATTGATGTAGAAAGGTGACCAAGCTAAATGATCAGGTGAAAAAAAGCAAGTTGTAAAACATCAGTCATAAGATTCAGGGTCCAAACTATAGCTGATAGCATGATCCACATATATATATATTTAAATAATTATATAATATTATATACATATATAATTTTAACCTAATGATCTCTCTCTCTATATATATAATTTTGCAAGATGCAATCACACAAGGTAATTATGTTAAAAATAGGCCTTATCACTATATATATATTTAAATAATTATATAATATTATATACATATATAATTTTAACCTAATGATCTCTCTCTCTATATATAATTTTGCAAGATGCAATCACACAAGGTAATTATGTTAAAAATAGGCCTTATCACTTAGAGATAACTGCTGAAGTACTGACGTATTTGGGGGTGAAATGATAACAAAGACTCTAGAGAAAAAAGTGTGGAGGATAAATTGAAAGAAGATTGGCAAAATGCTGGCAATTGTTGAAGCTGGGTGGTGGGTGCACATGGATTTGTTATGCTATTCTCCCTACTTTTGTGTGTGCTTAAAGATTTCTACAATAAAAAGTTACATCATCAAAAAAAATAGCTTCTATCTATATGTTAACATAAACACAGAAAATTTTGGAAGCTGCATCGTCAGTATCAGTGAAATGATGAAAATGCTGATATTCTTGATGATTTTCTCTTTACTTTTTTATTTCATTTTTTTGGTGGCTGGTTGGTATGGGGATCCAAACCCTTGACCCTGGTGTTACAAGGCTGCACTTTAACCAATCGAGCTAACCGGCCAGGTGATATGTCTCTTTAATGAGTTATTTTTTTGTAACAAGCACAAATAACGCTGGTAATTAGAAAAAATGAATAATACAGACATATTTCAAAAGGGATTTGTAAAAAATACAAACAAATAAATAAATAACAGAAAAAATAGAAAAAAAGAACGTCAACAACAACAAAAAAAACCAGAAAGGGATTTGTGCTTAGAGTAAAAATCCATCCTATACCCAAGGACATGAAAAGAAATAAAAATCACACATAATCCTACAATCCCTGTTGAAATTGAGGGAAATTTCTTTTCATATTTGTGCCTCCACTTTGCTCAGTACGGGCTTTATTTTACCAAAGTGGAACCACACCACAGAGTTCTGTAATCCTCTTATCTTTTTCACTTAATAAAATGTGACAGGCATCTTTCAATGTCAATAAATATAGATCAGAGTCTTCATTTTTAATGGCTGAATGATAGTCCATTATACTGGTAGCCAAGAGGGTTACTGTACCCTAGGGGACAGATGACATTATGTGTTGTCCCAGGGGATGAGAGGGAGCCAAAGGGGCCCATGTGGGGTAGGGGGTGGGGTACACCGAAGGGTGGGTCTTGTAGGGGTTGGGAGGAAAGGGCAGGAAAGCTCACCATTTACGCAGACCGAGGGTCTGTTCTCATTCTGCGCACACAAGGTGTATCGGGTGAGATGGCCCCGGAGCTGGCGCCTTGGGACCTCTCCCCACGCTATGACGGGGGTTCCTGGGGGGGCATCCTGCAGTCGCCAAAGCACTGGCCCCGCTATGGGTGCTAGGAAGAAAGCCAGCGGGTGAAGGTCTGCTGGGGTTCCAGGACCCCCCACCCTTCAGCCCCATCTCTTACCTAGTTCCTCTTTGAACCCCCAGACTGAGGGGGCAGGGTCCAAGCCCCAAGGAGAGACCGCAGTCACGGTGATGCGATAGGGGACTCCGCCTTCAAACTCCCCTGATAGCGAACGAAGACCAGTTAAAGTTGGCTCTCCCTCCCCCTCTCAT